GTCTCGCTATGTTGCCCAGGCTGGTCTTGAACTCCTGGCCCCAAGCAGTCCTGCCTCAATTCCAAAAAGTGCTGGGGTTGCCTGTGCGAGCCACCATGCCTGGCCCCAGGGGTTCAAGGCCCCCACCTCCACAGGGCTCCATCCCCACCGCCTGCTCCCGGCACCACCGCTCCGTCTTCGGGAGCTACTGTTTGCTGTTTTTTTGTTTGTTTTTCACAGAATCTTGGTCTGTTGCCCTGGCTGGAGTTCAGTAGCACAATCTCAGCTCACTGCAACTTCCACCTCTCAGGTTCAAGCGATTCTCCTGCCTCAGCCTCCTGAGTAGCTGGGATTACAGGCAGGCGCCACCACACCTGGCTAACTTTTGTATTTTTAGTAGACAGGGGTTTCACCGTGTTGGTCAGGCTGGTCTCGAACTCCTGACCTCAGGTGATCCGCCTTCCTCAGCCTCCCAAAGAGCTGGGGTTTACAGGTGTGAGCCGCCGTGCACGGCCTTGCTGTGCAGTTTCCTGATGTCTTGCCCTGCACATGTCCACCCGAGCCAGAACTGGGCCCTCCCTGCCTCCTCTCCATTCCTCATGTCCGTGGTCCGCAGCAGCCAGCAGGACCTCCCCACAAACTTCCATTGCATTTGGGTTTGGAGCGGGCGGGAGTGCTGAGTCAGGGTCTTGCTGTTGCCCAGGTGGGAGAGCAGCGGTGCAGTCACCACACTCTCCACCTCCCGGGCTCACGTGCGGGTTAAGGAGAGGGTCTCACGGCACTGGCAGACCAGACTTGGGGCTCAGGACGTTCTCAGCCCACTCTGGCCCCCTCAGCAGGCCGGAGGAGTGCAGGGGAGCCAAGCAGCATGCACACAGACCAGGTGCGTTTGTTTCTTTATTTAAAAAAATTATCTGGGGGCGTGGTCTGAGGAGGACACCCACCCCCCCATGGCTTTGGGGAGGAGGCAGGTTCCAGGAGTCACAGGGCAGAAACACGCAGGGGTTGGCGGAGGCATGGCCTGGGGCGGGGAGAGCATGTCCCCAGCACCCGAGGGGCTCCCGCGGCACCTGGCAGGTTGGGGCAATGGTATGTACAGGCGAGCAATGCCCCTGGACCCAGTGGGGCCGGCTGGGGCCCCATCCTGCAGCAGAGGAGCTCTGGGGCACAGGGTCTGGGTCCCGCCCGGGGCACATTCCAGGGAGGCTGGACAGAGGTGGCCCTGGGCTGTGCCCATCAGGTGGATGAGGATGGGAGCCGCAAACTACTGAACACCTGGGCCAGGGCTCGGCCAGCAGGGGCCACCTACCCTGAAGCCTCTCGGAACTCAGGCCAGCTCCAGGCAGTGGCGTTGCCCTGCAGGCTGGGGTCAGGTGGCCCCGGGCGTGTGACAGGTGGGGCCCCAGTGTCCCATGGAACACAGAGGAACAAAACGAATGCCAGGTCTGGAACCCGTGGCTCTAGGAGTGGCGCCACCCAGGCCAGCCCCCAGCAGGGAAACAGGAATTGCAGATGCATTGTAATGTGCAGTGAAGGGAATCGTGGGCAAGGCCCGCCGCACACCGCGGTCAGGCGACTTGGGCAGGTGCCCTGAGCTGCAGGCCCGTGGGGCCTGGCCCAGGCCGGCCCTGTCCCCAGTCCTGAGGGATTGTCTCCACAGGGCCTGGCCACCGGCCCCGCCGCCTCCCCAGCTGCCCTGAACCAGCAGCTGCACTCACTGTGGTGAATACAGGGAATCCCCTTCCTGATGCTGAGAAAGGTGGCGTGGCGTGGACAGTGGCTGGGGGGACACGGGGTCCTGCCCCACGCAGGGCGGCCCAGCAGCGGCTGAGGGCCTGGAGCCGAGGCTGTCCCCACGGAGGCAGGGCCGCGTGGGCGGCCTAGGTGTAGAAGATGACCTCGGGGATCTGGCCGTCCTCCACGGACGTCCCGTTGTTGTTCCCGGCCGCGTAGCAGAAGGTGAAGCAGGTCTTGGCGCCCGTGGTGGGCGACTCGTGTGTCACCTTGCGCAGGCCTTTGGTGCCATAGTGGGAGTCCGGGCCCTGTGGGGGGTGGGGGTACACTGAGCTCAAGGACCACCCGGCTGGGATGCCCCAGATGTGGACAGGGCGAGGCCCCAACTAGGCCAGGGTGGCCACCTCTGGAGGGTGTCTGCTGTGCCCCGAGGCCTTGGGACGGGCCCCGGCCCCACCCTGCGGCGCACCTTGAGTGTGGCGCAGGCCGTGTAGTTGACGTTGGGCAGCACTTCCACCGGCTCCTTGAACATGACGCGGAAGGTGCTGGCCGAGCCGTCGCAGCTGAAGCCCGTGTCGTTCTGGCCCAGAACAGTGTTGCTGTCCGTGTGGATGATCTGGCGGGAGCGGGAGGCTCAGGCCTAGGACCGCCGGCAGGGACCCCACAAGGCCCAGCCCACCTGCCTGGGGTGGGCAGTGAAGGGACCAGGGCTGGGGGTCTGCTGGGGTTCCATGGAGGATGGGGGAGCACATGGCAGGGACTGGGGCCTGGAGGCTGTGGGGTGAGGCCTGGGGCTGGTACCTGGATGTTCACTTGGTAGTCGGTAGGCCCATGGATGGATCCGTACAGCCCAAATCCCACCACAAAGATGCGCTTGTTGACTGAGAACCTGTGTGGCAGACGTCAAGAGACCATGGGGACGTCTAGGGAGAGCCCCAGGGGAGCTGGTGCCAGCCCACCACCGCACCCCCATCATCCTCGAGTCCTCCCCCCCATGCCCAGCCTCCCCCCCAATGCCAGGCCCCATCATCCCCGAGTCCTCCCACCCACCCCCACGCCCAGCCTCCCCCCAATGCCAGGCCCCATCATCCCCGAGTCCTCCCACCCACCCCCCTGCCCAGCCTCCCCCCAATGCCAGGCCCCATTATCCCCGAGTCCTCCCACCCACCCCCACGCCCAGCCTCCCCCCAATGCCAGGCCCCATCATCCCTGAGTCCTCCCACACTGGACTCCGAGTCCCACCTGATTCGGTCGCTGGTCCCGCTGTAGCCCCAGCGACTCTCCACTTGCTGGAAGCGGTTGATGCTGCACTCCTTCCCACGCAGGCAGCAGCGGGGCCGGTCGATGAACTCCACTCGCGGCTTAGGGTTGACGGTGAAGTGCAGGAAGAGGCTGACCACCTCGCGGTCCACCAAAATGCCTGACTGTGCAGGGCCTGCGGCACAGGGAGGGTGTGTCGGGGAGGGCCGGGCTGCCCCCCAGACCCCAAATGCCCAGGAGGACACGAGCCTTCCCCCTAAGATGTCCGTGTCCGACTTTCAAGGTGCAGGGACCCAGGCAGCCCCCCTGGGGAAACTGCGGCCAGCCGTGGCCCCCGCTGAGTCCTCCCAGGCTTTTGGGGGTAGGCTCCGCTACCTGTTTTCTAAGGGCCGTCAGCCAGGAGGGGTGCTGTGCCTCTGCACTCGGCCTGCACCTCCCAGGCCACAGCCCCAGCTTCTAGAATGGCCCAGGGGGTCCTCTCCACGGTGGGCCTGAGCACCCACCTCCCAAAGCATGCACACTCCAGGGGCAACAGCTAGCTCACCCCAGGCAGATGCCGGGAGCCAGGCTCTTAATCCTGGTGCAGAAATGTGACAGGTGGAGGGGCTCTGGGCAGGGCGGGGCACAACAGGGGTCCACCATCCACCCCAGGAGTGCCGGGACAAAGCAGCCACCCTCTGCTCTAATCACAGCGGCCCCGGTGCTGCCCGCCTAAGATAACCATAATCAAGCCCAGCGGGCTCAATTCTGCATTGCTCACTGCGAGCCAGCCCAGTGCAGACGCCGGTTCAGTGACGTCAGAAACGATGATGGCTGCAGTGAATTAGGAATGCTTTTTTTTTTTTTTTTTTGAGACTAAGTTTTGCTCTTGTAGCCCAGGCTGCAGTACAGCGGCTCCATCTCTGCTCCTCACAACCTCTGCCTCCTGGGCTCAGCCTCCTGAGTAGCTGGGACTACAGGCACCCACCACCACACCCGGCTCATGTTTCTATTTTTAGTAGAGACCGGGTTTCTCCATGTTGGTCAGGCTGATCTTGAACTCCTGACCTCAGGTGAACCACCCGCCTCAGCCTCCCAAATTGCTGGGATACGTCAGCCACCGTGCCTGGTCTTTTTTTTTTGGGGACCTAATTTCCCTCTTGTTGCCCAAGCTGGAGCGCAGTGGTGCAATCTCTGCTCACTGCAACATCCAAATCCATCTCCTGGGTTCAAACAATTCTCCTGCCTCAGCCTCCCACGTAGCTGGAATCACAGGCATGCACCACTCTTCCCGGCTGATTTTGTATTTTACATGACTCTCCACACTCGCCTTCAAAGAGCTCTCACAGTCTGGGCTGCAGGGAGGTCTTTTTTTTTTTAAGACAGAATCTTGCTCTGTTGCCAGGCTAGAGTGCAGTGGCGTGATCTCTGTTCACCTACCTCCCGGCAGAGGCCTAACCCTCCCGAATAGCTGGGATTACGGGCATTCGCCACCACACCTGGCTAATTTTGTATTTGTATTTTTAGTAGAGATGGGGTTTCTCCATGTTGGCCAGGCTCATCTCAAACTCCCGACCTCAGGTGATCTGTCCACCTCAGCCTCCCAAAGTGCTGGGATTATAGGCATGAGCCACTGTGCCCAGCTGATTTTGTGTTTTTAGTAGAGCTGGGGTTTCACCATGTTGGTCAGGCTGGTCTCGAACTCCTGACCTCAGGTGCTTCCCCCACCTCAGCCTCCCAAAATGCTGGGATTACAGGTGTGAGTGAGCACACCAGCCAACGACTGTAGTTTTCAAAAGGATGTATCTGGCCAGGAGTGGTCGCTTACGCCTGTAATCCCAGCACTTGAGGAGGGTGAGGTGGGAGGATGGCTGGAGCCCAGTTCATGACCAGCCCAGGCAACAGAGCAAGACACTGTCCCTACAAAAATACAAACATAAGCCTGGAGTGGTGGCACCTGTAGTCCCTGCCAGGGTCTGAAGCAGGAGGGTCACCTGCACCCAGGAGGACGAGGCTGCAGTGAGCTGTGACTGCACCACTGCCCTCCAGCCTGGGCGACAGAGCGAGACCCTGTTGCTACATCTGGTGACCTGTGGTCGGGAGAGCAGGGGCCGTGTGGACCTCGGAAAGGACGGACAGTGAGTGCATCAGCCACAGGACTGTCTCCCAGCCCCTTCTGGAACCTTCCAGGCCTGTTTTCCTCCAGAGCTGGATGGCCCCAGGAAGGGAACAGCCACAAGAGGGCAGCAGCCATCGTTAGGGCTGCCCCTCCTGTCACTCCGGAGCCCAGGCCCTGCAGCAGGGGACCTTGAGGCGCACCCATGGGCGCACAGCAGCTGCCCCAGCCATGCCGGAGCCTTCATGGGCTCATCTCGGACACTGGCACCTGAACCAGCAGGTAACACGAGCTGGGGAGTCCCTTCCCTCCTGGGCAGAAGCCACCAAAACACAGCTGGAGGGACACGGGAGGCAGGGGGTTGGCAGTACACACGGCAGGGACACAGCCGGGCTGGAGCTGACAGATGGCCCTGTGGTGGACGCCCGCACAGGCCCGGTTTCTTCCCATCTCTATACTCTCGGGCATCTGCCAGGTTTTCTGCAGTCAACTCGGAGGCTGCTCTCCTGGGCACCAAGGAGCCCGTCTGTGTTCCCAGCAGGCCACCAGATGTCACTGCTGTCCCACGCCCGCCCGTGGGCCCCTGCGCTGTTACCTGCAGCAAACTCCTCGATGGTCATCAGTGGGAAGCGGATGAGGCCCAGAGCCTTGCCCAGAACCTTCCGCCGGTTCTCAGGCGTCACCTGCAGCTGCTGCCGCTGACACTCAGCCTCAGACCAGCGGACAACGGCGTTGAACAGCCGCACTTCACGGATGCCCAGCGTGTCGCGCTCCAGGACGGCCACTAGCGTGTCTGCAGGGTGGGGAAGGGGCTGCGTGAACAGGACACCCGCGTGCCCACCCTGCAGGAAGCAGGGAGACTAACAAGAACCAGCAGTTACAGCTGCACCGGCCACTGCGGCCCCAAACCCGGCCCTGTGCTTGTATGTGTAAATAAAGCTTTATCGACACACGACCGCACCCCTTCATTTTCCTAGGTTGTGGTGGTTTTTAAGCCCCAAGGGCAGAGTTGAGTAGCTTTGACGAAAGCTGTTCAGCAACAAAGTCAAAACCATGGACCATCAGAGGACGAGATGGTCACCACGAGCTGGGATGGTGGCATCTGGTCTGTGGCCTTCCAGCCAAGCCCTCCTGCCAAGGCCCCAGACTCCCCTATGGCTGTGCTGGCCCTGAGCTCCCCGCCCCGCTACAAGTGGTGAGGCCCCAGGGACCCCCAGGCCGAAAGCTCCCACTGTCAATCCCCGGACCCTCCCACCCAGGCCCAGCTGGGATCCCCACACCCAGGCTCGGGGCCCTCACCCAGGTCGATGTCAGTGAAGCCCTCCGCAGTGATGGCGTCCGCAGTGTTTTTGTCGATGTTTTCCAGGCACAGGCTGGCCAGCTGTGGCTCATCGAACAGTCTCGCCTGGCAGGAGACATCGAGTGGGGGGTTGGGGCGCATCAACACCCAGCCCGCGGCAGATCCCCCATGCGTAGCTGGTTCCAACACAGCCCTGACCGTCACACCTTCCTGAGCGTGGCCAGGAGCCACCCATGGCTCAGCCACCAGGCTGGCCCTGCTGTGGGCCCAGGTCCCCTGTGACCGCTGACTGGGGTGGGGAGAGTCCAGGAGTTCCCTCTCAGGACCTCAGAGGTCAAGGAAGGAAGAAACAGACACCCAGGTCCCTGCTGCTTCAGGCAAAAGGGACGCTGTGGCTGCACTTGGGGGAGCAGCAGGCCCAGAACCCCGAGTGACAGGAGGAGGTGAGGTGGCTGGGGTCAACCCGGTAATGCTCCCAGACTATAAGATGACTCCTGACAGGTGATGAAGCTGGACGTCACCTGTGCCCTAGGGAAACGGAGGCTGCGTTGAGGAAGGCGTTGTAAGGGCCTGTGCCAGCAGGGCCCTGGACCAGCCTTTCTGAAGGCCTCATCCTGAAGACGTCTCTCAAGTGGGCTAGAGGTGGTTTTAGGGGCAGGGAGGCAGAGGTGGCCATGACATGGACCCTGGGGCCTGAGCTGCAGCCTCCTCTCAGGTCAGGCGGGGACCTGGATGGCAAGGTGACTACAGATGACCCCAACAAGAAACCCCTCCCTCTGGGGGTCCGGGATATCCTGCACCTGACCTGCCGGGATGGAGAGGGAGAAGGTTCCTGGTTCCTTCGAGGGTGCTGGACCCCCAAAGCCCATCGAAGGACTGGCACCACTGTACCCCTGGGTGCCCCCAACCCCCGATCAGGAGCTCAGGGCTCCCACGGGCTGCCCAGCTGTCCTGGCCCCACGCCCTCCTCTCAGCATCCCTGGCTGGCACGACCTCCCCAGACCCCATGACCTCCCCAGACTGCAGAGCCCAACTGGGGTCCCCTGAGACTCCCGGCCATACTCTGTCTACCTGACACTTCCTCAGAGAAGGAAAATTCCTTTTTTTTTTTTTTTTAATAATTTTACTTTTTTTTTAGCCGGACGTGGTGGCAGGCGCCTGTAATCCCAGCTACTCAGGAAGCTGAGGCAGGAGAATCGCTTGAACCCTGGAGGCGGAGGTTGCAGTGAGCCGAGATGGTGCCATTGCACTCCAGCCTGGGCAGTAAGAGAAACTCCGTCTCAAAAAAAAAAAAAATTATTTTACCTTTTGTTAGAGACAGCATCTCACTCTCTCACCAGGCTGGAAAGCGGTGGTGTGATCTCTGCTCACTGAAGCCTCAACCCCCTGGGCTCAGGCAATCCCCCTGCATCAGTCCCCCAAGTAGCTGGGATTACAGGCACGCACCACGATGCTGGCTAATTTATTATTATTTTATTTATTTTTTTTTTTTGAGACGGAGTTTCGCTCTTGTTGCCCAGGCTGGAGTGCAATGGCACAATCTCGGCTCACTGCAACCTCCGCCTCCTGGGTTCAGGCAATTCTCCTGCCTCAGCCTCCTGAGTAGCTGGGATTACAGGCACGCGCCACCATGCCCAGCTAATGTTTTGTATTTTTAGTAGAGATGGGGTTTCACCATGTTGACCAGGATGGTCTCGATCTCTTGACCTCATGATCCACCCGCCTCGGCCTCCCAAAGTGCTAGGATTACAGGCTTGAGCCACCGTGCCCGGCCTATTATTATTTTTTTTTAAGTAGAGACAGGGTTTCACCAAGTTGGCCAGGCTGGTCTTGAACGCCTGACCTCTGACGATCTGCCTGCTTCAGCCTCCCAAAGTGCTGAGATTACAGGCATGAACCACCAATAGCCTAAGTGCCCTGCCAATAATAAAAGTATCACAGAAAAGTCCAAAACACATTTTCTTAGGACAGAGTCTCAGTCACCCAGGCTGGAGTACAGTGGTGAACTTTCAGCTCACTGAAACCTCCACTTCCTAGGTTCAAGCGATTCTCCTGCCTCAGCCTCCCAAGTAGCTGGGATTACAGGTGTCTACCACTATGCCCAGCTGCTTTTTGTACTTTTAGTAAAGATGGGGTTTCACCATGTTGGCCAGGCTGGTCTCCAACTCCTGATCTTGTGATTCACCCACTTCCGCCTCCCAGGTTCAAGCAATTTTCTTGCTTCAGCCTCACTAGTAGCTGGGAATTCAGGCACCCTCCACCATGCCCGGCTAAATTTTGTGTTTTTAGTAAAGAAAGGATTTCGCTACATTAGCCAGGCTGGTCTCGAACTCTGTGACCTCAGGTGATCTGCCCTCCCAATGTGCTGGGATTACAGGCGTGAGGCACCGCACCCAGCCCAAACATTTTACTACCGCGCAGGATCCGGCGGCTTCCTGGACCCGCCCCAGACCCGCCCCCAGCCTTGTCCCCGCCCCAGGCCCCACCTCCAGCTTGGGCCTGTCCCCACCCCCAGCCCTGGCACCACCCATCCCCGCCTCTGGCCTTGCCCCGCCCCCAGCCTTGTCCCCACCCCAGGCCCCACCTCCAGCCTGGACCTGTCCCCAGCCTGGCTCCACCCCCAGCCCTGGCCCCACCCCTCCCCACCTCTGGCCTAGCCCCACACAGGCCCCACCCCCAGCATTGTCCCCGCCCCAGGTCCCACCTCCAGCCTGGGCCTGGCCCCAGCCTGGCTCCACCCCCAGCCCTGGCCCCACCTCTCCCCGCCTCTCGCCTGGCCGGGCCCCGCCCCCAGCCTGGCCTGGCCCCGCCCCACCTCGTGCCCGGCCCCGCCCCCGGCCCCACGCACCTGCGTGAGCAGCATGAAGGCGTTGTCTGCTCGCAGGTTCTTTTTCAGGAACTCCACGCAGTGGGCCTCGAGCGCCGGCACCGCGTACTTCTTGGCGGTGTATAGCGTGGTCATCACCGTCTCCGGGCCGATCTGTACCTCGTCCGAGTAGAGAAACCTGCAGTGACAACGCAGGGGCCATGGGATGGGACCGCCATGACCGGCCCCAGGGGAGAGCATCAGGAGACCTCTCAGACCATCAGCCCCGGCCGGCCGCCTGTCCCTGAGCCGGCAGGGTCCAAACACCCCACGTCAGCTACCCCAAGGAACCTTCCAGAATTAGCCCGTCGGTTGACCTCTGACCTTGGGACACGACTTGGCAATGCGGTCACCCATGAAAACGAGCAAGAGGCTGAACCCCGTCTACAGCACACACACCTGGAAGCGTCTACACTACCGGCCTTGTCCTGCCGGGAATGCCCCAGGAAAAGCTATTAGGGGCTGGGTGTCTCCTCCTTGGACACCTTTTCCATGAGAAACTCTTGGTTCCACACCTCGGGCTCCACCAAAAACCTCAACCACTTCTGGGTGGGTCACAGAACCCAACACGCCAGCTAGGATCGTGGATAATCGTGGATGTTTTTACCACCTGCCACCGAGTGGTCCACACCATACTGAATACGGATCAGAAGTTGGGCTGATCAAAAATAGAAGCACAGGCCAGGCGCCGTGACTCACGCCTGTAATCCCAACACTTTGGGAGGCAGAGGTGGGCGGATCACAAGGTCAAGAGATCAAGTCCATCCTGGCCAACATGGTGAAACCCCGTCTCTACTAAAAATACAAAAAAAAAAAAATTAGCCGGGCGTGGTGGTGTGTGCTTCCAGTCCCAGCTACTCGGGAGGCTAACGCAGGAGAATTGCTTGAAACTGGAAAACCGAAGTTGCAGTGAGTTGGAACCGTGCCACTGCACTCCAGCCTGGTGACAAAGCAAGACTCTGCCTCAAAAAAATAAAAATAAAATAGAAGCACAGGCCAGGTTCAATGGCTCACCCCTGTAATCCCAGCACTTTGGGAGGCCGAGGTGGGTGGATCACGAGGTCAAGAGATAAAGTCCATCTTGGCCAACATGGTTAAACCCCGTCTCTACTAAAAAAATACAAAAATTAGGCCGGGCGTGGTGGCTCAAGCCTGTAATCCCAGCACTTTGGGAGGCCGAGGCGGGTGGATCACGAGGTCAAGAGATCGAGACCATCCTGGTCAACATGATGAAACCCCGTCTCTACTAAAAATACAAAAAATTAGCTGGGCATGGTGGCACGTGCCTGTAATCCCAGCTACTTAGGAGGCTGAGGCAGGAGAATTGCCTGAACCCAGGAGGCGGAGGTTGCGGTGAGCCGAGATCGCGCCATTGCACTCCAGCCTGGGTAACAAGAGCGAAACTCCTCCTCAAAAAAAAAAAAAAAAAAAAAAAAAAAAAAAAATACAAAAATTAGCTGGGCATGGTGGTGCGTGCCTGTAGTCCCAGCTACTACTCGGGAGGCTCAGTCAGAATTGCCTGAACCTGGGAGGTGGAGGTTGTAGTGAGCTGAGATCGCGCCGCTGCACTCCAGCCTGGCGCCTGGTGACAGAGCGAGACTCTGTCTCAAAAATATATATATATATATAGGCCGGACGCGCTGGCTCAAGCCTGTAATCCCAGCACTTTGGGAGGCCGAGGCGGGTGGATCATGAGGTCAAGAGATCGAAACCATCCTGGTCAACATGGTGAAACCCCGTCTCTACTAAAAATACTACAAATCAGCTGGGCATGGTGGTGTGTGCC